CGCCCACTGCGCCGCCCGCCCTGGCTGCCCACCGCCTGCACCCCGGGCCCAGCCTCCCGCCGGATGCGTTCTGGGCCTGTCTGCGCTGGTCGCCCGCATGGACAGCAGCAAGTGGCCCGAACCCCGCGCTTTGGGGGTCGCAGCGTGTGGTGGAGGCTCTGGCAGCCGAGGGTCGCCTTGGTGACACTGTCAATGGTGGCGGGTCGTTGGTGAGGTTGTGGGGAGGGGAGGCTGCGGATAGTCATTCAGAAGCTGGTGGGTCAGTACAGAGTCGGGTGGCAGAGCACGCTGGGAGAGCGGGGCAGAGACCTGCCGGAGGGTGGGCTTCTTAGGAGGAGGGAGAGGTTAGGAGGGAGGGTCTGGAGTTTGGGTAGGGGCGGGGCCCGGGCCATTTGCCAAGCCCCGCCCCCCGTAAACAGGCTAGGGGGCAGTCTGGAAGGGTCCCGGGAGCCCTCCCCAGCCGAGAGGGGAGGGTTGCGATATGCCCAGCCGGGTCCCTGCCTGGCTTTTGGCCCCTTGTCTGCGGGGCTCCGTGCCACCGTCACCGCAGCGCAGACCCGTGGCTGATGGGCTGATCTGCCCTGCATTCCAGGGGGGTTGGGGAGGGGGCTGAACAGTGTGTGAGGGGAAGAAATGGCAGCTCCTAACGAGGTTTCCCTGGGCGAGTCGGCCACGGTCCCTGGACAGAAAGGCATGTGACCACACCTGAGGCGGGCTGCTGGGGGGATCGGGACTGCAGCGCTGAGTGACAACTGATGACAGATGAGGGTGTGCCTAGGCACCAGCTCCCCCCTCAAGTGGCCGGAGGGGTGAGCAGACAGAATGGGCAATGACTTGGTGAGGACAAGGGATGGGGTGACCCTTGAAGGGTTGAGGTTTGAGGGACTTGGAGTTAGCGGGCACAAGACAGCCCTGCTTTAAAATAAATGTCCCCCAAAGCATGACAGCCCCTGGCAGGGTGCACAGTGTTGCTGAGATGGAGGAAGGGCACAGCCGAGTGTCAGCTTGTGGGGAAGGGGCCCTGGGAGGAGGGGCACTGGGTCCTTAGGAAGGGTGGCTGCTATGGGACACGCACTGTTCAGGGGCGCTGCCCTGGAGAGGGGGCTCCTTGGCAGCTGAGAGGGGGAGCCGGGATGGACGTGGGGCAGTATGGAATGCCACCTGTGGAATTGTGCTAGCTGCACAAGCTCGCCCACCCCACCCCAAGACAGCACTCCAGCCCAGACGTGCCCCTCCCAGTGCTGGAAGCTCCCTCCCTCCCAGTGAGCACACCCCTGCACTTCCTCTGAGGAGGAGGGGGCCAACACCCCAGGTGACCTGCCAGCTGGATGTGGGGTCCCCAGGGCTCTGCAGGAGGGGAGCAGGGAGCTTTGGGCTCTATCTGTGCCTGCCCTGCCCCGCCTTGGGCCATGGACGCAGCCTCCAGGGTCTCAGGCCGGCGCCCAGGCTCTGGCTCCGTGTCTTCACTCCCGTAACCATCTGAGGAGGGAGGGAGGGACGGGGGCTGTGCTGGGGCGGCTGGAACAGCACAGGCCACTGGA